CTGTTGTCCTCTCTTAAGAGACTTAGGATGGTGTGAGGGCTTTCCCTAAATCCAAAAATTGCGAAGACTACAAATACAAAATTGAGTGTGTTTTGCTGTGGTGATATTGCTTGGGTTGGGGTGATCAGAATAAACTGTTGGGTAAGAAGCTGAGGACAGCGAAAGTATATCTAGGATCCGATGGCCTCTTCCTAGCACCAGTGGAAATGCTGGGGCTGGGTGGTGTTTTCTTCACATAGTGATGGGACAATGCCTTCTAAGAGATTCCTTCAGAGGAGTAACTGGGAAGAGATTTACATTAACTGGTTTCCAAGCTGCCCTACCTTCTGATAATCTTGAGGAGTTGTGGTGTCGAGTCTCACTTTAAAAAAATGGAGAGGATCTGAGAACTCAGAGCAAATGATTCTGGTCACAGCTCACAAGGAAATTACAAAGCTACTGTTATTTGTATTTTGAAATCCAATAAAGAAAATCTTTGTTGAGTCCTGGAGCAAAGGGCACCACTAGAGTAATAAATGGCATTTTAGCAACTTAGAAATGACAGGGTCACTACAGTGTTTGGATCTATTTGGAAATCAGCATGATCTCAAGTCACTTCACACAGGAGGGCTAAACTAGGCTTTATATTCATTATTATAGTGAAAATCCACATTAGTAAAAATGTAAAATTCACAGCTACAAAAAATACTAAGAAGAAATGTGATAACCTTTTGCTAATTTATACCATTTACATGATATATATATATATTTAACATGTATATATATATAACATGTATATATGGTAAATTCAAAACCAGTGAAGAATGGAAGAAAATAAAATTATTGTAACTAATAAAACTTCATATCATCATTAAAACACTTCAACTTAACATCCTGAGTAGAATAAGAAAAGACAGTCAGTACATAAAAATAAAGAATTATTTTAGGAGAGGATCACTAAGGAACACTTTCCCCTAGTAAATATGCTATGCACAACACAATAGGTTAGAAAAGAAAAGTTAAGAAAATCCACCAAAACCAGTACGAATTCTTCTAGACACAATAGGACCAACATATGAACTCACAGATACCGTTAAAACATGACAGGGTCAAAAAAATGACAGAGTCCTAACACTGAGAAGGGAAGCCATACAAAATCGTACCCCTAACCAAAGCTATTTGCAATTGTTAATTTCTGGGCAAAGGAATATCAGTTTTCTCTAATGTCACTGGGTAGGTAGTCAACCACACTGTGGGCAGGTCCTGTGCCCAAGAGTAGTTGGCTAACACACACATACACACACACACACACACACACACACACACACACACAAAAAAAAAAAAAACCCTCCATATTTTGTGTCGGCTTGTTGTTTTGTTTTGTGACATTGAATTTTTTCAGTTTATGTGTTTTGATTTCAGGTTTTTTGGCTTGTTTGGTTTTTTTTCCCTGTTTGAGAGAGGGGGGGAATTAAGTTAGATATATAAGGAGGTAGGAAAGAAGAACAGGAAAGATTGGTATAAGGTAAAGAATATGATCAAAATATAAGAAAAAATATTTAAATAAAAGTTTTTAAAAATTCTTAAGATGCAAATTTAAAACTATGAGATAAGAAAACTATATACCTCGACCAGGAGGTTTGCTTTCTGCCACTTAAAGAAAAAAGAGAATAGGAGGGGAAACTATTTAGCCTGCATGGATATGAACCTCCAGCTCAAAGATTTTCTTGAATGACTAATACATTAAGGAGAAGAAGATTCTAAAAATTTTCAGAAAGAAAAAAGATGAATTTTGAAGAAAGAAAGAAAACATAATTTTATCAATGTTTTTTATGAAAGCCATTGAAATTCAGAATAATGGCTTTTTCAAATAACTTTGTGGTAGTTTGAAAGAAAATGGCCCCCAATGGGAGTGGTATTATTGGTAAGTGTGGCCACGTTGAGTAGGTGTGGTCTTGCTGGAGGAAGTGTGTCAGTGTGGAGGTGGCCTTTGGGGTTCTTTTCTCAAGCTTTCCTCAGTGTGACAGTCAGTTCACTTCCTGTTGCCTCTGAGTCAAGATGTAAGGACTCTCAGTTCCAGGACCACATTTGCCTGCATGTTGCCATGCTCCCCTTTGTAATCATAATGGACTGAACCTCTGAAACTGTAAGTGAGCCACCCCAATTAAATGTTTCTTTTACAGAGTTGCTGTGGTTATGGTGTCTCTTCACAGCAATAGATACCCTAACTAAGATAGTCTTCAAAACCTTACAGAAACACTACTTCAAATAAGAATTCCACACAATCAAAATATCAGGGAAGTGGGTGGGTCCAGGAAATACATTTTTAACCATGTAAGGTCTTCAGAGAAAATAAAGGTTTAAAAATATGCCGGGTAGCAGGAAGTTACTCTAAAGAGAAAAAAAAAATGGAGGAAGTAGCCAAGCAACTAGCCTGGAAGATGAAGAACAGAACATGGAGAAGAGTAAGGGGATTCTCAAGAGTACACTATTCCCGAAGACCCAGGATGCAGGGCTGCATCACTCATAAATGTATCCAGAACAATAGTATTTCAACAGAGGGTGTGTTTTATTTTGTCATAATCAGTGTTTAGTATGTTTAGTGAAAATTTAAATAGCCTTCATAATGAAGACACTCTCCACCTATGATTTTAAACCCAATTGTAAATAAATGTCCATTATATGAGATTCAACTTAATGACATGTTAATTTAGGCACAATCCATCCATGTAGGTTGTAAGGGAAAATTTGTATAATTGTCACTGCCAACAAGGAAGCAGCTGTAATATCTCCTTGTCACATATATATCTTGTTGTGATTGGCCAAATTATCCTCAGTTTGCAACAGCAATAAAACTATTTTGAAGAAGAAACATACCAGAAATCTCAGAACAGTAAAACTAGTATGTCTGATTTTATAAGTCTGTACATTTATAACTTTAACATGTTGACTTATTTAAATGTCATTTCAACTCTGTCAAATGGGTAGTTTTACTATTATAAATCAATCATTGTATTAGCTGTAATGTATACATAAGGAGACTAAGGAAAAGAGAATAATTATCCACAGTTATCATTTCTATCAATAGATAAACATATGTTGGAGTACTGGTATTGTTCCAAGACCAGTTTGGAGATACTTGTTCAAGAGATATTATAACAGAAGGGAAGGCTGGGAGTGGAATCGTGTAGGAGCTGTGTCTACATCAGGAAGAGGCCCAGGACAGCAGGCAGAAACTCAGTACCTTTAAAGGCTTAGAAACACCTCTAGCATTTTACATAGAGTTAGAAAGAAGAAAGAGATCCCCAAGATGTAGACAAAGGGAATTACTGAAAAGAGAAAATATTCCAGGAAAGGATGATGTCTTCAAGTGAGAGGGATATTTAATTAGGTAATTTTGTACTATTCCAGGCCAAATAGGTGAATCAGTGAATAATTCTTATGGAGATCACTGCTGATTTGGCCAGAGCAACTTTGAAAAAGAACAACACAAGAGACCACATTTTGGTGAGTAAATCCTAAGCAGAATGATGAATGGAAAATAGGCTGGAGACGTGAAATATGCTGATTTTCCTACTGAACACATAGAAATATTTAGGCAAAAAGTTTAGAAATGACTAAAATCAGTGTGCCTCAAAAAGAAAATTATGACTGTGTAGATTTGAACATCCAATTGCACTTCTGTCGCAAGGATTGAGAAAAAAGAAAAGAAACATGAAATGGAGAGAAGAAAACAATAAAACGTAATGTGGAGAAGAGAAAGATGGTATATAAAAGCTATAAAAAAAGAACTAGAGTGTTTTTAAAAAGTATTTTCTGTGTGTACCTGTAGGACCATGAAGAGATGTGTGAATCATATTTCTTCTTTCATCTATAGCCATTAATACACATACTTATTCTAATTGGATATATAGTGAAAATTCCCAAGAAAGACTAGTATTTTTATATTCATTTATCAAAAGAAACGAAACCTGTGAGGGAGTCCATTGTTGTTGTGTAGATGATAAAACTGAATCCTAATGGACCCATGTAAGGCCACAGAGATAGGAAGATATGGTTCAGAAAGGTCCTTTCCCACCAGTGCCCTCTGTCTCTGATACAACTCGTATAAACAGTGTTGGTGGGTGATAGACATGGAAGCCTTTATTACTACGGTCAGAAAACAGCCTGAAATAAAACAGATTTTTGTTTGCATCTTGCCTCAATAGAATTACCATTTTCCCTTAAATATGATAAATAGAAGAACTTAGCCTAGACATATGTTAGAGAAAAAAAAATTCAGTGCAGCAGAATGCCTTATAAGCCACCGAATGTAAAACATGTGTTACAATGTAATAAAAAAGTCATCCCGTTTTAATAATTATTTAAAGTTATTATTAAGGAATGGGGGAATAGAGAGACAATTACTGATTCTATGAAACAAAGGTGATTACTATATTTATCAGGTAAATCAACTATAACTACTCCAAGAGAATTTTAATTTTTTTTCAAATCTGTGTTTCTCTTAATCAAAACATTCCAGCATCTGTTTTATATCAGAAATGAATAAAATATGTCCACATGAACAGAATATATTGGCCTTTACTTTTTGTGCTTAATTGTTTTAAAAGATCATCAAGAAAAAGAAATGTTTCAAAATCTCTTTTTGTTTTCATTACAATTAAAATTCTCCTCAGTTGCTGGCTAGTGGATCCGATATATACATCAGCACATTTTAACGTCCCTGGAATTGTGAAGTAAGAGTGAAAATTGCCTTGACTATGGAAAATCATGCTTGGAATTAAAAGAAAAAATTCCTCTCCTGAGGTGACAAGGTACTGCTGTTGTTGGAGGGATTGAAATTGGAGCCAACAGTGCATACATCTTACAGAAGACTCTAAAAATCCGACAGCAAAGCTTGGGTCGCTCCATTACTGTGAGGGGCAGTGACCAATAGAAAAGGAGGGAGAAGATCCAAGGAGGCTGAGGTAAGCCATCCTGAAGCCTGTCAGAGTGGAAACAATACATCAAAAGGTCTTCATGGTGAAGAGTCACCATCCCTTTCATTTATTCTGATTGGAGGTTTAACAGCATCAAGTCAAAACAAAGAATTTTCATTCTTTTATTACCTCCCCTCCCCCATCAATTTATTTTACCCAGCGTCAGACCAGCCACGGGACTCAACGGTATATTCCTGGAAAGCAAGGTAAACTATTCTGTACTTTTTTACAACTTTTGGTTTAGATAGTCAGAGTTCTGATTCAGAAGATGTGGTGTTACAGTTTCAATAACTAATGCAAATCTCTACTCTGAAGAAACTTTAACTTGTCTCTGTTGGAAGCAGTCCAGAGAAGCATTCTGCCTTCAGAAGCAGTCTGACAGCTGGCAGAAGCAATTCTGAACGTTAATGGGAGGAATAAAAGACCAGCATACCATTAATGAGTGATTTTATGTTTATGTTCCTAGGATTTGGTGAAATGTATTTGTGCTATTAGTTGCTTTAGCTGAATGCCCACTGAGGTAACTGTAAATTTTATATATGTAACACAGGTTATAAGCTAATGTTTAAATATGTACTATGCATATATTTTTCTCTGACACTAGTTCTTTGTGAATGTTATATTTGGTGCTATTCAATGGAGGAAAATTTCTTTCTTCTAAAAGTATACATCAGAAAGTATTAACTTAGTATTTGTTATATTTATACTGGATATGTAAATATAGGGGAAATTTTAACTTATGTTCTAAATAGTTTTGTTCTTTCTTATCCTGATTAATTATGTCATAGGTGAATAAACATGTATCAAAATTACATAACTGATACATTAGCTCTAAATAATTTCTGTCATATGCAGGCATGAGCATATATATACATTTGTAAAATATAGAGACAGTCTATATGAGGGAGATTATAACAATTATATATGAGATAATGGTTATGTGAAAATTTCATAATTCTGCTTCTTGGCTAAACATCTTCATTCTGATTTGTACTTAAAGTTACACAACTCTTTCTCAAAAGTAAAGCTTACCTGAAAAGTTCAGCAACAGAGCCAGAGATGAATCTCCTACTTTACTTCAGATCCTAGACCCATCCTTTACCATAAACTTCTAAATTGTCCTTTGATCTCTACATTTCTTTGGTCTGAGGGCCAAAGAACCTGGGAAATCTCCTCCAGATGTTATTCTCATTTAAGGGTAAAAATAAAAGCACATGCAGATGCCCACCTCTTAGGAACAGCTCTCAGTTGCCACTTCATTTATTAGATCACATTTTGTTCTCTTATACTCAACTACTGGTTTCAGTAAAGTTTCTCAAGTTAATAGCTTGAAATGGAAAAGCACTTAAGCTTGCTAAACTTTGCTTTCCATTTCTCAGCTTTCACTATGACTCAGTTAAACCCAGAAAGGTTAAGGACTGTGAATTTGTTTCAACGTCTGTAAACTGCTTTGCCTGTGATGGGTACTCAATACATGTGTATTCATTGCTGTGTATGGATTAGAAGTGAAGATTCTCAGCCATACCTTGAAGGAACAATGCTTACTGGGTTGATTCTTGCTGGTATTTAAAGATCAATGTACTATTTAACATTTGTGTTACTTATTCTACAGGTGTTGTAATGGCAACCTCAATCTGTTTGACGCTTTGGGTGTTACTCATAGCAGATACTGTGTGGACACAGAGTGTGAGACAGGCCTATGAGGTACAGGACCCAGAGGACTGGGATGTGCATGATGATTTCTATTGTCCTAGGGAATGTTTTTGTCCACCTAGTTTCCCTACTGCCTTATACTGTGAGAACAGAGGTCTCAGAGAAATCCCTGCTATTCCTTCAAGGATCTGGTACCTCTACCTGGAAAACAACCAGATAGAAACCATACCCGAGAAACCATTTGAGAACGCCACCCAGCTAAGATGGATCAATTTAAACAAGAACAAAATAACCAACTACGGCATTGAGAAGGGGGCTCTAAGCCAGCTGAAGAAACTTCTTTTCCTGTTTCTAGAAGACAATGAGCTAGATGAGGTACCTTCTCCATTGCCAAGAAGTTTGGAACAGTTACAGTTAGCTAGAAACAAGGTATCCAGAATCCCTCAGGGGACCTTCAGTAATCTGGAAAACCTGACCCTTCTTGACCTACAGCATAACAAACTTATAGATAACGCTTTTCAAAGAGATACCTTTAAGGGACTTAAGAACCTCATGCAGCTAAACATGGCCAAGAATGCCCTGAGGAACATGCCTCCAAGATTACCAGCCAACACCATGCAGCTGTTTCTGGACAACAACTCCATTGAAGCAATACCCGAAAATTATTTCAATGTGATTCCTAAAGTGGCCTTCCTGAGACTTAACCACAACAGACTGTCAGATGCAGGCCTCCCGTCCAGAGGGTTTGATGTGTCGTCAATTCTGGATCTCCAACTGTCTCACAACCAGCTCACAAACTTTCCCCGAATTAACGCTAACCTGCAGCACCTTCACCTTGATCACAACAAAATTAAAAGTAAGTAGCCATGAGGATATGCCTGTGACCAAAATGTCCATCATGATGTCTAGTCTCTGTCCCTTATAAGAATATCAATTGTGTTGTTCCCCCCACCAACACACAAGTAATGGGCTATTAGAATTGACAAATTATTTTCAGTTTTCATTACACAATGTTGTTGACTCAGCTTTCATAAACCAAAATTCCCAAATCTTCAAGTTCAGGATTGAAAACCGAATCTTAGTCATCTACACAGGACTTTTACATATGGGAGAAAGGAAACACCTCTGTTTTCTTTGCCTTGGAGAGATTCTGGTATTTCTCTCTCTGTGGTTGAACATCACTACATCTCAGTGTCTCTCAGAGTAGCCTTGAACACAAGGTCAACTACTTGTCCCAGGATCCTGAGTACCAGGATTATAGGATTGTGCCCCCATGCCTGGCACTCTGTGGGGTAAATTTGTTGAGAAAATATGTAAGGTAACAATCTCATGAATTATCTATAGAATAAGATATAAGAGTTGATGCCTGAATCTCCCTAAGTATCTTCATTGACCAAATACTCCATGGTAGAGTGGGTTTCAGTGTGCATATGATAGTGTCCCCTCACCCCAGAGTTTCTGAGTCATTCAGTCTTGGGTAGAACCCAAGATCTCTTATTTTCAACAAGTTCTCAGGTGCTGGTCCTGATGCTGTGGGTTATCATACATAGAGGTACTACAGATGCTCAAGAATTTAGTTACTTGAGATGGAAATGAATGCCCTGGGAACTGGTGATTACCAGGACTTAGTTATGGATCCACAGTGAGGAAAATAACTATTCTTTCTTGAAAACAGCTTTGGATATAGAGTGGATAGTGGATCAGGTTGAAGCCGATCAAAGCAAAAATGTTATGGAAGGATGAAGTGGTTACAAAATGTACACTCTTGGAAACATTTGAGATTAACTCAACCTGTTCAGAGTTACATCAGGATGTCTCTGATGGTGAAAGTGAGTAATTTTATATTCCACGCTTAGGAACTGGTACACAGCCTAAGATTCATCTTCAATTCCAATATAAGCATCTTGGGAGGATAACCATGGGGAGATTCCTTCTGTAATTTTTTTAATGCGGTCCTGAAGTGAGTGGTGATGAAAGTGTTCTATAGAAAGTAACCCAGGTAAATGCCACAGGTTTATGCTTCCTAGTTATCATTTGCTAAAGATTCATTTAGCATACGTTCACATAACCATTCCATTACAGGGTCGGAGCACCTTTCCACTGCTTGGAGAGCACAGATTTTTGTTTTCATTATTGTTGTCATGTAATTGAGCATAAAATTCTGGAACTGTATGGCATGTTGCCAACACAGCAGTTATTTTTTCCCCTGTGGTGAGGAAATGCACTGTTTAACACACCAGTCAGAAGGAAAAGATACAACATAGAAAAATTGTTAGATGAGTATGTTTAGTTGAGCCAAACATCATAATGTTTAAGGAGGACCCTGGGTTTATATGTCTTTCCTGATGAGAGGTCTATGTTCCTATAGGTTAATTCCTTATCTACAATAAAGCCCCACAGATAACTGGAGACGGAAATTAATTTCAGGTGATTCAACATAGACTTTTGTATGTGAGCTGCAGATGCTGGGAGCTTGAGATCAAGTCTTTAGGAATGATGTGCCAGCATTGAACACAAGGTTACGAAGCAAGCCATTGTGTCCTCTCCTGAAACTTCACAGAAGGTTTTCAAAGGCTGTGAAATACATTCCAATATTTTAGTCAGTCAACCTTATATATTAGCATGTGTCAGACTCAACTGAGTTTGTGAAAGGTTGTAGGGATCCCCCACCCCAGGAGCCTAAGGATTCAAGTCTGTAATCATTTCGTTGCTTGTAATCATTTCCTTGGCTGGAGAAACCCGAAACCTCCCAAGACCCTTTTGTGATGTTGTTGGGAAGTTCAAAGAGAAAACTAAAACTAAAACCCAGGAGGGTGACAGTAGCTGTCTTAATGACACAGAGTGATGGGACATTCAAAACCAGAGGCTCTGGTCTCTTACCTTAACAAAAGGCCGCCATGTCTGCTCATTTAACACACGGACCTAGTTTTGTTTACCATAGAAATAAATGTAGAATAAGGGTTTCCTTTCTTGGAATAACTGGATGAGAATTTTATCGATCACATTGTGTTATAATAATTATTAGTGTACTTAGTTCTTGTCAAATAATCTAGTTGCTAAAAAATATTTGCAAGAAACAAAACTTTCATATGAAAAGTCCATTAAATTTACCAGTGAACTTTGCTTCTGTGATTTTGGAAAAAAAAAAACATGTATTTCTTCTGAGCACGAGGGACTTGAATTTTTATGGAAAATATGCATATAGTCTGATAAGTTACTTCTCCACATTCTCTGAGAAGAATCCTAACTTATGGAAAATTATTAAGTTTATAACTCCTACTTCTCATATTCCAGTTATTTGGATATACTGAATATGAAGTATGGGAGTGATGAGGATATCAAATAAGGAACTGAGTGAAACACAGTATCCCTGGTAGGCAAGGATCCCAAGTAAGAGAAAAAGGCTAGTCTGGGCTGACTTTTTATACAATATTCAGGTCGAAAAAATAGTCATATTTCCTGATACGGTCTGTGTGTGGATAAAGTGATTATGCATTTGAAAAAACTATAAGCACAAAACTGATTTACATATATGAGCCTTGTTTAAATCAAGTCAATTCACAAGATAACATAGGGTTTGGACAAAACAGCCATTATCCAAGTATTAAATCATTTGAAATTATATTGTGAATTTGCACCAAAAGGACATAGGAGAGAGACTTTTCCCAAGTTAGGTGTGTCTAGTTGAAAAAGAGCTCTTGCTCATTTTTTTGTCGAAAGCAGAAGCCATCGATTAATACTTGAGATCATCTGCCTCAAGCTTACAGGAATTTTGGGCACATAACAGCTCTTCACTCTGGAGAGGACTCTCAGTCTGGCTGTTAGTGCCGTGAGCTCTAGTCCAAGACAGGTCTTGCTTTCCCCATCAGTACCAGGTATAAAAGTTGATGGGGTATTTCTTGGGCTCAATCCTCTGTAATTCAACCCTTGGCAAATGCCTTCTCTTATGTAGGGGATTCATGGCTTTAAGTATTATATGTAGAATTACGATAAATACTTCATGTAAACGTACCATATATTACTTCGCATATTTTTTGGGGGGTGGGGGCGGTTTGAGACAGGGTTTCTCTGTAGCTTTGGAGCCTGTCCTGGACTAGCTCTGTAGACCAGGCTGGCCTCGAACTCACAGAGATCAACCTGCCTCTGCCTCCCGAGTGTTGGGATTACAGGCGTGCGCCACCAGCGCCCAGCTATTACTTCGCATATTTTAAGGTAACAATACAGCAAATTATCCTTGCAAGAACTCTTCTACCAATCAGTCGACTCATTTACCTATGTACCAGGTCTAATAACTGTCTCTGCTTTTAATCCTCCAAATACGTTCCTCATTTTTGCATAGTAAGGCAATTTTCACATGCTTCCTCTCACTTGTAAGCTTAGAAAATATCTGAGATATCTTATTTACCTTGGATCTATCATTGTTTTCAATAATATTACCTATGTAATATCTCACACTAAAATACAGCAGGGCATAGAGTAAGAACACTGCACCTGATACATCAAACATTTTCCAGGATCATTCTTATGAAACAGATAGGTACAATAACTTGTATCTCTACAGCTTTCCTCACATGAGGTTATTTGGCCCCTTAAGGCCACTGCAGTATTTTATTCATCTAGACTTCTAAAATTTTGGTGTTTCAATTTAACCATTCATTCTATCATTCCTTCCATAGATGTGAACATCTCAGTAATATGTCCCACCACACTGCGTGCCGAACAGGATGCCTTCATTCATGGACCTCAACTGAGCTACCTGCGCCTGGATGGGAATGAAATCAAGCCACCAATCCCAATAGATTTAGTGACATGCTTCAAGCTTCTTCAGGCCTTCATTATATAAACAGCCATCAAATCCAAACTGGATTAAGAATAGATGTGTGTGGCATGAAATTTGATTGTTTCTCCTAGGTTTAGGTCACAAGCCACATTTACAATTGTTCTTAACCACAATTTTCATCTGTGCAGCTTACTTTTTTTTCCATTTGAAAATGCTTTGGTCACTGGCATGCAGCTGCTGCTTGTTTGTATTAATTTGCTTTCCTCTGATTAACTAAATAGACACAGAGTTGAGTTCACTTCTCAACTCAAAGCTATTTTTGTCTGTTGGCTACTATTACTAATATCAAGTAATTTTTATTGTTACATATTCTAAGTGATTTACTTGTCTATGACCAAATATATGTGTGTACTGGTTGTGTACATATAAGCACAACAATGAGACAGCTCTAGGAAGTGCTGAAGAAAATTAATAAGTAAAATAATCCTTTGTCATAATTATCATGAACCTACTAGTCAAATGCCTCCTAGCCATTAGAAATAAACAATGAAGCAGGAGAGAGATCTTCTAGTCACTTAGGATTAAAACAATGAAGACATTTGTGGTTTATTATCATTTCCTATAGTTTTTCTTAGATCTAATACACTATTTTCCAGTAACTCCATCCCTACATTGTACAGTTGGCATAACACAATTCTCATGAAAGCACACTGTTTTAACAGTAGAAATTTACTCAAATTGCAAATTATCCAGCTCTTATTTTTTTGGATTTTCTAAATAAAAATATCAAATGTTTTCTAACAAAAGGGAAGTGTGATGTTGTTTCAAGGACATTATTCACAACTTTCATTTAGGAACTGTTATAATAAGAAAGTGTTATAGTCTCAACTATTTTGCTAGCACGAATACAAAATGTTCTCCTGTCTTACATTTTCCAATAAGCATAAGAATGATTATATTCTAAGTACATGACGTAATATACTTATTTGTGATAAGTTTTAAAAAAGTCAGTATTTCATTATTCAACCAGGCATACTTTTCTGTCGCATTTTAGTTTTATAATTTTTTCAGATACTATAATAATAAATATATAATACAAAATTTATATATAAATTTCTATATGATTTCAAAATGATTTTCTAACAATCCAATATATTTCTATATAAAAAAGACCGTATACATTTGTGAAACACTTGTAAAGGAATCCAGTAGGTTCCTATACTCCAAAGTCTTTTAAAATACTTATAATATTTGTAACATGAATTCTCATGAACAAAACATGATGTGAAGTATTATTTATTTTCACACTCAAATTTATTTGGAGTGAGAGGCCAACTAAAATATTCTTAAGGCAAGAAAACAAATTAATTGGCATAAATCAAAATTTAAAAATTATTTAAGGCACATACATTATGAAAATTATGTCATATACAATTATAAAATATAAGTTATTAGCTGTGACCAGACTTGGAAAAAATAGTACACAGAGAAATACACTTACAAAAATTTGAAATGCTATTATTTGAAATATATTTCAGGTAATTCAAAAGGAAATTTGAATAGGTGAAATTTATAAGGAATCAAAATCTATGTAGAGGCAGGTTGTCTGATACAACCATCCCCCATTACCCACAGCTTAATTTTCTGATGTTTCTGTTACTAGTGTTCACGATAGTTTGAAAGGAGTAAAAGAAATATTTCAGAATTAAAGACACAAGTTTTAAGTTATGCACCTTTCTGAGAATGGCCAGTTTCCAGTGCCCTGCTACATCCCAGTAAGGAAGTGGACCATCCCTTTCTCCAAGCAACCTATTCTGTAAACCCTATCCATTCTTAGGTCACATAGTGGCCATCTGAACTAAGTGACCTCCTGTTACAACACCATGATGTTCTTGTCCAAATACTCTCTATGTCCAAATACGCACCACAGGGCCGGCCTCTCTCACCTCACTTCATCTCATACTGTAGACATTGTTGTTATCTCCAGAAACTGCAAATGAAGGGTGCAGTATAATATTTTGAGAAAGGAATAATATCAAAAACTGTATTACTGTAGACTGCTATATTTACTCTCTCTTCATTAGTCATCACTGTGAATCTCTTTCTGTGCATCACTTACAAATTCATCCATGTTACAGCTATGTATGTGATGAGAGAAGACAGAATACTTATGGAATGGTATGGTTTATAGCTACCTATTATGGATCTATGGTTTTAGCTACCCACTATAAATCTTCAAATGTATCTTTCACAGATAATAAGAAAATACCTTTTTACTCAGATTTGTCCAGCAATTTATCTTGAGACGATTGGTATTGTTTAAGTGGAGCCTGGGTAATGATTCAAGAGAAAAGATATAAAAGCATTACTAATCCACAGATTTGTTGTGAAATGTTACTGCCAAGTATTTGCAACTTCTTTTTTCTTTCCTCCCTCTCTCTCTCCTTCCCTCGCTCTTCCTGTACCTCACTCTCACTTTCCTTTCCACCTTCAATATTTCCCTCTTTATTCCCATAACTCCCTTCCAGCCTGCCTTGCTGCATTAACTTCTTGTGTTTATTTCAAGCATTTATTGGATAGTGTGTGTGTGTGTGTGTGTGTGTGTGTGTGTGTGTGTGTGTGTGTGTGTGCCCTCACAGTCACCCATACACAAGACTGCATTACACAGGCAAGATAAAATTTTGTTCAGTTATATTCTAGTGCATGACATGCAGATTAGTGTAATATCACAAAACCATGATGGATTTTAGTTGTAACAATGTTACAAATGTTTGCATTCTGCAAAGTAATTAGTAATACTAACTTGATGAAGAATTTTCTAAAGAAAAATTGACTAAAGAAAAACATAAAAAATGAAAAGTACTTAATAAACGAGGTGGAAGAAAACAATATTTCAAGGCATTATTTAAAGACTGTGAGATCCTTGGACGAATTTGGGAATTACAGAAGACTTTTAATATGGAAAAGATTATGTTCGTCAGGGGTAGCATCATGCAGTGGCGAAGACCATCAACCATAAAGCTAAAATCTCTGAGTTCACACCTCAACCTTGCCATTTACACTTGGGCAGAATTTTCAGATTCTCTCTTCACCTGTCAAATAGTGACAAGAAATAACACCCTCGTATGTGGAGAGTTAAAGGAGTGTAAACATCAGAAGAGTCAAGACAAGCTCCCAGTGCATGGTAAATGCTGTGAGATTTATATGCTGTGAGATTTATCAGTACTGTTGTTATGACATTTGAGGGAACTTAAGGTTGCATGTGAAGAAATCAGCTAAGATTTCACTCCTGTACACTGACTGCTTTGAATTAAAACAGCAACAAGAAGAAAGATACAATAATAGAATGGCAGTTAATGTAAAAATGATGATGTTAGAGACTATATGTTTCTAAGAGAGATGTATTGTTGCATGCATATAATCCCAGCCTTTGGGAGGTAAAAAGCAAGAGAATTAGAAGTTCAACACTTTAATCACAAGGCTGTCCTGCTTATCATCCATCCCCTATACCAAGCCACTAGAATTATCTACTTAGAAAGAATGATTTTTTTCTTTTTTACTAAAAAAATTCTGAGGTATGTAGAAGCTGTATCAGTAACCAGCCTCAAAGACCAACTGTATGAACAAAGTTTATTCTAAGATACTCATCTACAAGTGCCAAAGCCTAAAGACAGAGGTCAATATGGATATTAACATCAAAATATGGATATCTAACAGATAAACACATAGGGAGACATTTTAAATTTAAAAGCTTCAAGAGGGCCACTGTGTTTAGGGATAGAAAGCTTATTGACCCATGAACACTTTTTATTTTTCCAAAGTTAACCGTAACATAGAGATTGTGCAACTTCCAAACTAATGCAAAAGAATAATAAAATCGGAGTACTTATGGCACCACGAAGGGCAAAAAGCTCGGTAATGCATCAGAAGCTCTTTAGGAGAAGCATGTGGCACAGTGATTTCTGCTTTGCAGAAAAAAAGATCACATTTCTAATCAGCCAGTGCTATTTACCATGGCTCTGATCTTTGTCAAGTGCCTGCCTGATTGTAGGTACTGGGTCCTCATCTATTAAGCAGAGAGCAGTACCATCTCTCTTACCTAGCAAGAGAACAGATGTTGATCTTTTATCACCTGATGTGTGGAAAGCACCCAAAAAAGGATAAGCCAAAAAATTTTATTTTTATTAGTTGGCACTCAGACATGAAAATTTAAGGATTTTCCTGTAGCGGGAATCTTAGAAGTTCTTATTAATAAAATCAAACCTGAGCCAGTTATTGGGGTGAATGCTGGAAGGTCAGAGAACCAGAACAAGCCACAGCTATCTCACCTCGCCGGATCCTCAGCTGGTCCTGTTTCCTCAGACTGGAAGCCTCTGAGTCCTCATCCAGAATGGATCTCAGCTGAACTGTGCTGCTCAAAACCTAAAAGCTTAACCAGCCAAATGCTTAACCAGGCCAAATGCTTCTAGTTTCTGGTCCTCACGCTTTATATACCTTTCTGCTATCTGCCCTCACTCCCTGGGATTAAAGGCTCGCTTTCTAGAATTAAAGGCATGAGTCACCATGGTTGGCTGTATCCTTGAACACATGGATTTCTGCCTCTGGAATGCTAGGATTAAAGGTGTGTGCTACCACTGCCTATCCTCTTATGTTTAATATTGTGGCTGTTCTGTCTCTGACCCCAGATAAGTTTATTAGCATTCACAATATTTTGGGAAACACAATACCACCACATTTTCCTTTCCAAATCAGACCAATGTGCAAAGCCAGAATGGAGAAAAATAAGTGATCAAACTGAAATTACAGGTTTGAAATTTTGATGAAGGGCGGACAAAGGTGGTGCTGTAGAGCTGGAAGTCAATGACATTGGGTTGGATCATGAAGGAAATTCATTTATCAGATAACAGATTATTTCGAGAAAAAGGATGGGGGCTACGTGGAATTAAATACAGGTTGATAGGACTGTGGTGCATATGGGTCAGAAGAAAGTTATTTGAGCCTTAGATATTATAATTTCCAAAGTCTTAAATGGCCCAAAGCAAAGAAATGGAAAGGAGATCAGAGAAACTAAAATTCCAGAGGTCAGAAGATCAAGCAACCTAACTGTGTGTAAGAATCTGATACAGGAATATCAGTATAAAATGATGAATTTTTGAATAACACTAATAGCTTAAGTATCTTGTAGCTACCATTTACCTGCTGAATGACAGGACAAACTTGAACTTGAATAGTCCATCTTCAGAGCTCTAGCTTCTGATCAGGAGGTATGCTACATATCTCTTCCAATAAAACATTGACATCTGTTTTTTTTTTTTCTTTTTTTCCCATCCTTTTTTAAAAAAATATCTTTTTTCTAAAATCCATAAATTGGCCAAATGAAAGTCCAATACCAGCTATGCTGACTTTCCTTGGAGTTGTTTTTCAAGATGTCCATAGAGCCACATAAAAGGTGGACTGTTACCA